TATATATATTACACATCCTTTTTCAATCATTTTATTTGTCTCATATCTGTTAATTGCTTGATTTTTAAACCAATCTTATCTTTAAGACAATCTGTTTTTAYGCCTTTTTATTTGGGACTCATCACATCAAACTAAGATTAAGTCAAATTCAGTCAAAATGACCTAGGCACAGTTTTAGTTTCCTGTTTTTGTAAGCTACATTTTGATACCCGGATCATCCTAATATCATGAGCTGCTCCAGAGGCATGGCTTCATTTGTCTTCCTAATCAGGACAATCCTTTGATAATTGGACTGAATCCTATGTTTAGGTTATTCTAATGAGGATTTTTTATGTTATTTTAAAGAGGAAAGCTCAAACAGTATTTGGATTTTGAGATTTCCCCACATGGCAAATCAAAAAGGTTTGCTAGCTCATGGGGGAAAAAAATCACAATTTAAGACTTTTCTGCTCAAAATCATGTTGGTTTATTTTGTAGCCACTGCTCAAAAAAGTGCTTTAATAAATCTTAAAGGTTATAATTCCGATATTTTATTTAAAGAAACCATACATAAGCTATTTATTCATTATATTTAACAAAATGTGTTTTAGCCAGTGCACTATAGTTGCATTTTTCTCCACTTTGACTTAATTCTCAGTCCGATGTGATGGGTCACATGTATTTTCTTTTTGTTTCACCTTTTTTTGGATAAAAAAGGTAAAGATATTGACATAAATTGTTCTAAAAACTAACTACAAATTATACTTTGTAGTACATATGGTAAAACTTGAGGTTTTTGAGAAATGTTCTTTTATTTTCCTGTTTAACATCCCTTTATTTGAATTCATTTGAACAATGATGCTGGACAATATCAAAATGACTCAGCACAACAGGATGAATCATGGTTTTCTCTCGCTAGTACACCTTCTCTTTATGATGCAGCTGAGCCAGATCCATCTGTCCTGCATTTGAACATACACTGTAAAAAATGAAATGTTGGATTTACTTAACCATGTTATGTTACCCGGTTCCACTTAACCGAGTTGAATAAATTCAAAGCAATATACCAGTTTTTTTAGCCAAAGAACATGAGTATGTTGCTTTGAATTTACTCAACTCAGTTAAGTGGAACCAGGTAACATAACATGGTTAAGTAAATCCAACATTTCATTTTTAGAGTGTAAAGACGCACATTTAAACTTTCGTTTGAAATGCCCATAAATTAAAACCTCTATAGTTAGACGCCTTTCTCTCATGCATCAGCTTTCTCTCGAGTCCCCCCTGCCCCCTCCCCCMCAAAAAAAACAGAGCCAGGACAGATTCGTGCATATTCATGTGCACCCTCTTTCTGTTTGGTGACGCATTATCAGATGAGGATGTGACGTCAAAGCAAAGAAAAAATAAAGTGATAGCTTTCATTCTCTAAACTGAAACACTCAGACTTCWTCTCAATTATATCATTAACAGTGTCTACACAATTACACACACAACCTTTTATACCTCTCAAGAAAAATATGGGAGTATAAAAATGCAAGTCTCTTGAACCTTTCGTGTATTTTATGACAAATTTATAAAATTATGTCAAATTAAAGAAATCATTGTGCCTAAAACACAGAAACCATACATGAACAAACCCACTCCCTCATCCTTCTCATCCAGTATGGCTGACATTTATGGCAGCACACCCACTCTAGCCGCCTATTGTTCGTACCTGTAAATCCCATCATGTACACACTCAGGACATTACAAACACAAATCATACACACCTGGTAAATGCGTTTCTCCTGATGCACCATCCTTTTAGCGCATCCTTTTAAAGCCGTCCTGCCCTCCTCTACACTGCAGTGATGCCACAGGAAGACCCTCTCATATACTGCAGGTCCATGCAGGAGAGGAGAGCGAGGGTGGATGGGAGAGGGAAGCAGCAGGGAGGGGAGAGAAGAGAGAGATGGAAAGGAGGAGGAGGGGAGGTGAAAATGTGGGACGAGACGGAAGCGGTAGAGAGAAATGGAAGAGGAAGGGAGGGAGAGGAGAGACAGAGCTGCTCAGTGCTGCTGCTTCTTCTCTATCTGCGCCTTCATCTTCATCCCTTATCTTCAACAACTTTTCCTTAAATGGATGGAAAGCAGCAAATAATGCTGAAAATGATCTGAATTTGTGCTTTGAGAGCTTGCATACTTACTAAAGTGAAGAGAAACGAGGAAATGCAAGCCAGTAAAGGCAGAGTGAATGTGGTTTCATGGMTGAGACTGCAAAAAAAAWTWAAAAAAAACACAAATCATTTCTAGAAGCTATAAAAGCAAGCAAAATATGGTGTCTGAAACAGTTTTCCCTTTGTAGAGTAGGAAATGTCCTAATTTCTTGGTTTTGTCATCTTTTATTATGGATGTGCTCACGCAGCCTCAATCCACTTCACAGATTCAAACCCGCACGTGCTTTACAAATATAGACACACACAGCTCTCTGAGGGCTGTGTCACAGTGGGCTGAGTAAAATACGTAACAGTCTTAGTCACCTTTCATCCATCAACATGCAGCCAAAAAATACCTAAAGCAAGAATTTTTTCCCCCTCTTGGGTAACCCTGCATAGTAGTATTTACATATTTTGTCAGAATACACTAAATCCGATTGATTGGTGAGTTGTTAAACAGGCAGCCACTCCGATGCTGGACAGCCTGGCTCTCCCTCCACTGCAACATTCCTCAGCTTGTGATTTGAAAATATCCTGCCCAACTGCAGCTCTTTACCACACACAACATCCCACTCCTTTACAAACATCCCTGCTGCCGTTTCAGTGCTCCAACYAGTGGCCTATTGTCGAGTCTCTGATGAAAACATCTCCCTCATCCATAAACACAACCTGAATGGGGAAACCCAGAAAAAAATTAAAAGCTTAAGGTGCTCTGGTAATGAAAAACCTTTAAGCACATCTGTGTCAAGTGCAGAAACCTTTGATACACACAAAAGGATGTTAATCTCAATTCTGCAACTCATTCCCTGAAAAAATACAAATGACTTCAACCCTTTGATGCAAAACATGGGTCAAAAGTGACCCGGCTGAGTTTTTATCTTCTTTATCTTTGCAATAAATTTATTTCATCATCCAGAATTCAAGGAATTCCTCAATTAACTTGTTTTTCATCATCATACGTCATTATTTTATTTTTTACTTTTTTATTTTTTGAATAAAAACTGTTTTTGTATCACTACCCTTCTAATGCACAACATGGGTCAAAAATGATCCACATTCGTTTTCCAGGTTATTTCATGTATGGTTGAGTGTTTCAATGATATACTTATTAATTTTATGATTTAATTTTCCAAATATGTAGTACATATCTTGTTTTTGTTTAGCACAAGTCATCATTTTTATTTTTCCTTTCTTAAGTTATGAACAAGCACAGCTTTTGTAATTGTACATCACGTTTACACACATGGGTCAGAAACGACTCGCATGCATTTACCACAGCATTTGGTGGGAACTGTGAATTTTTCTTGTGTCAGATTTTTCACAACTCAGCACAGCACCTTTGCCCATCTAATATATGTAAGTATTGTTTTACACTTGTTCTAACAAACCTTAGAAATAATTTGATTATTTTCAGGTTACCTTGAGAGTCGGTGATTTCGAAAGTTTCAAGTAATTACTGTTAGCTAGCTAGCTGTTGACATATTCTACTTTAGTTAGCTAATTATATAGTTGGCTTAGATAACTAAGTGGATTGCTACGCTACTAAGCAAAGTAGTTAGCAAAGCTACTTAGCAAAGTCAACAAAATATAGCTATATATTTTTATGTATTTTGGTGTGCACATGAAATTTTTTTTGTCCTTTTGACTTTCCTTATCCAGAGGATGGCTGCTCGTTTTACTGATGGTTGTAGCAACGCTGCAGGAAGAACCAGATGTGGAAGCTGAGGAAGAAATTTGTCCTGGTTCAAAGTCAGAAACCTTTGATGATGCAGAAGACTCATCTGATGAGTCAAGAGGAAACTCAGACTCAGTCCAATAGATTCAGTAAAAACGGATCTTACTGGAATGACAATTCCTCCACTTTTGGCAAAACAAGCCATAATATTCTGAGGAACTGCCCAGGACCTACACCTGGATCCAGAGTTGTTTCACTAAAAGATGACTGGGATATGTTCCCTATGCACCAGGAGCACAAACAGTGATCTTTTGTGAGGCATGTAAAATTTGAGATGGTTTGTGTTCTAGTAATTTGTTCATTTGTGTTTTATTTGGTCAAATTTTACCAGCTTACATTTAAACCACAGAAGTTCAGTTCAGTAGCTGTTATCAGGTGTCTGTGTGACAAAATGACAAACATGTTGCAAATATGAAATAACTTGTTTGGCCCAATTCACTGCTAAAGTAATTACTTGAAACATTTTTGTAATATTTAAAAATCACACTTGGATGACCCATGTGTAGTAATATTAAAAAGTATCTCCGTTCATAAAATTTATGATCTGTGGTCGTTGGTAAAGAATATTTGTAATATTCAATCAAAATAAATTGACCTCAAAAGAGAGCAAAGAAAACTCAAAAGTCAGCATGAAATAATCTGGAAAATGAATGTGGGTCATTTGTGGCCCACGTTGCACATTAGAAGGGGTGTGTGTGTATGTTGTGCATCAAAGGGTTAAGACGTATGTAGCTTTCAGAGGAAAAGCCCCCGTGGATGTCACATGGGGGCTTAGTTTCAATGAATTAAAATTTCTTCTGCACATGCATGCAAAGAGTGCCCAAGGGAGAAAGCACCAAGTCGAAAAATATTCGGAGAGACAGAATGGGGTGTGCACAAACATTTATGCACAATTGTGCTTTGACTTAGAACGCTTAACTTTTGTAAATAGACCTTTGAAAAAGTTCACCTGAGCATCAAACTGACCAAATAGGTATAGTGGGAGAAAAAAAAAAAAAAAAAAAAAAAACACACCTCAGATTTACTTTCCAATGTGTGCACCATTAAGAGACCATTACAAAACATGAAGTTTAAGGTCAAACTTTATTAAACTGAACATTACAGACCAGCTTGTAAAATGTTTTCACAGGAAAAAGGAGAGTCTAGTCACTCAGTTCTCAGGTAGCCCTCCAGCAAGCGGAAGGATCATCTTTAGTTGTATGGCATCAAGGGAAAGGAGTCCCAAAAGGAGTCTGCGCCATCTTGAGTCTGGTATTCAGTTCCGTATTCTCCCACGAGTCGCGGGTGGTTTTGGCCTCTTGGATTGAATTTGTGGAAGTTAGCCAACTGATCCCAGAAGCTTAAACAGCCTTTGTGGCTGGAGCTTGTGGTCGTCGTGGTACATGGTGTCGTAGTTGGGACTGTGGTGGTTGTGAGGGGAAATCTTTCAAATAAATACTGAAAGGGGTGGTGAGGCCTTTCAGGCTTCTCGTTTGTCTGGAGCAGCTTCCAGCCTAGATTCTTGCCAGCCATCCGGTGCATTACCTTTTGTGGGTTCATGTTGAGGTAGTTTTCGTAGATGGGGTGAAGCCCAAAAAGCTTTTCCATGTAGAAAGGATGGATGAGAGGAGGGAATGTTGGTTCAGGAGTAGTGGTTGTTTGTGGTGGGTGAGTGTACAAGCAGAGGGGGAAACGCTTGTTTGGAAAGCAAGGGACATACATGGGGCGCCACCGGAGATGTCGCTTGGAGCGGTAGGGGCTCTGTGGCAGGAGAGACGAAGGGGTTTCTGTAGGCTGTGAAGAGGAGGATGTAGCTGGGATTTCATCAGGAGTTTCCAACACAACGCAGATTATTCTGACATCATCCTCCCCCCATTTCATCAGCAAATTATAGGTACCATTCTAAAAAAGAAAGGAGAACAGAATCTGAATTCATCTAGTTCAAAGTGAAAATACATTTTACATCTGCAAGTCTGGGATAAACAAGACAATACCTCGTGTTTAACACCGCAGCCACCATATGGAATGATTACAATCAGTCCTAACACGGTCTGCTTCACTGAGAACCCACACTCTTTAGGAAGATGGATTAGAGGTAGATGTTTTCCATTGTCTGAGGGAAAGAAGCAGTTAATTCTTGTTTGTTTAACTTTTACTATACTGGTGCAAGTTCTCATACCCATTTCCAGTTGCAGATCAGCAGCATCAGGTCCCATAGCTTTAAACGTGAACTCATCACTGCCACACTCAAGTGATGCATTCAATAGCCTCCATGTTGCTTCAGCCGTGTCATCTTCTGCTACTTTAAAGAACAAAAAAAAAGTTTATTGTATAAGTATATTCAAAATTTTACATAAAAAGTAAAGCCTTACCTTTGTAATCGGGTTGTGTTAAGACATCCTTTTCTGTAGCAGCAAGATCTGACTGGTAGTCAAGCTCGTTTTCATTAATGAAAATACGTCCTTTCATCAATTCTAAAGCTTCAGCAGCGTCCTCAAGTTTATCTACTTTAGATCTTCCTTGCAAACTAAAATAAATCAAACATGAGGCTAAAGAACACAAGAGCAACATGGCAGCTATGATTTGCCACATCCTGCACCGTGTTTTACCTTCCATGATGGAAAGCTAGACCTGAGGGAGATGAGTTCAGGATGGTGGAGAGCAGCAGACTCACATTTGTTTTTAAATACTCCACCTTCCAGAGCACCAGGTGAGTTAGATGAAGGTAAAACTAATCAGATGGAAATGCAGCTATAGCCCACCACCTGTGGCCAATAAGGTCACAACAGCTGAATTCATTAAGATCCTTATCATTCTAGCAATCCCACAGACTAAAACCCTAAACTGAATGTGTACAATCATCACCAAAATAAGCATAATTTCATTTCTTTTTCTTTTTTTTAAATTGACAGTTCTTGCAGTTTTATTATCAGATACAGATGTGGCCTCAGAACAATAATTTAGTTATATAGTCACAGAAAACCTTGGCCATACTGCATGCAGAAACAAAAAAATCAAGGAATGTTTACATTTGTTCAGATTTTAAGTATTTTTTTCTGAGCTTAAAATAATTTGAGAGCAGCTGTCAACATCTGAGTATAAAATAAATTATCATTAAAGATGCAAGTTTTTAAAGCTCTGAAAGTTTATTAAAGCTTCAACTATCAAGTCTCCTTCATATATTTGAGGACAAAATGTGTACATGTACAGATTAGCAAAACAAGTATTGTAAAAAGACAATATATGTTTGCACCCAAATCAGAGGTCGGGACTATTAGAAAAAGTAACTGAACGCAAAAATAATAATAAAATAAAATAAAATGAGACAGGAAAAAAATGTGCAGCGTTTTGTACAGTTCTTTACTAAATCAGTTTGGCAATAAAAATGATAAAACAGACTGCAGAAATATTTGTATATGTATTTGCCGTAACCACTTTAGCCCCAATTTTACTATGCACTTTAGAAGTTCAATTACAACATACTCATGACATTCACCTACACATTCTCACTCCCAAGTCGTCACATATTGACGCTTTTCCAAAGGTTCCCTCTGCGTCTTATTTTGACGCGTAGGGTACCCCCCTCGCGTCAGTCCTTGACGCCCGCGGATTTTCCGGCTTTCGCCACCAGGGGTCTTTGGGTCGGGGGTCTGAGGTTAACATGAGGGATCAGGATTAATGGTTAAATTTAGGTACTGGGATCAGGGGTAGGATGTCCATGGTGAATATTTGCTCATTTTACGCTTTAGAACATGTTTACGTGAATTCCGTACATTTTCTAAAAATGGTTAATTTTAGGTACTACGGTCAGGGACAGGATGTCTAAAGTGAACAAAGGCAATTTCAGGCTTTGGAACGGTCGTTTTCGCACATTTTATACACTTTATGAAAATATGACAACAGACTTCGCCCCATCTCGTCAGTAATTGACGTGACGGGGGTACCCTGMGCGTCAAAATCRGACGTAGAGGGAACCTTGCCAACGCGTCAATATGTGACGACTTGGGAGTGAGAATGGGTTGCATTCACATATAGGAAGTTGGGCGGTGGGCGCTCTATGGCATGTAGGAGAGGGGACCACTCTCGACACTGGCACCTGTGTCCAACCCCAAGGGTTGCATAAAGACATACAGGGCTTCTGGGGTTGGAGTTGGGGTGGAGGGAAAACTGGCACAATGCTGGCCTCTGCCCCTTCCTCCCGCCCATTTTAATTGTACTTTAGAACAACACGCATCAACAGCACATCTGGGGGTGGGGGTGTCGGGGTCTTTTTTTTAACCTCACCCGCTCTCCGTTTGCCATTTGGGGGTGGGGTTCAGAGAAGGGGCRGACCATCTGGTGGGGGCCTGGGCTACGGATGGACTTGGGGCCTGGGTGGGTGCTGGGAGGGCTGGTGGTCTGTCTTCCCCGGGGATATTAAGACTCTCGGATTGTGACCCCTGGTTGCCGTGGTTGGCTCGCTGGCTGGGGTGGCTGGCTGGGTCTGGCTGGTGATCGGCTGGGGGTGTGCGCTTGGCCGTTGGCGGTGTGTGGGGGTGGTCGGGGGTGTTGCCTCACTGCGGTGGGGGGCTGGCCGGCTGACCTGGTGCAGCCCGGGTCGAACCTTGGCTGTCTGCTCTTCTCCACCCCAGAATGAATGGGTTTGCCTCCTGGGTTTGGATATGACCTGCCCTCTGTAGGGGGCGGGTACGTGTCCTGGACCTGTGGGGTACAGAGTGTGTATTGGGAGGGTGAGTGGAGTTTGGCATCCATCTTGTTTGTCTTCGAATGAGTGGGTGTGAGAATGAGGGTGGAACTGCGTGAGTGTGTCTGTGCATGATTGGGTATTTGTCAGGCTGGGACTCGGGCTGCCCTCTCCTCTGGTTCACCTGAGGGCCCACTGCTAGTGGTGGGCTTCACCCCACTGCCGTGCTGCCCTCTGGTGGGGTGTACATTTGCCTGCTGGTGCACTGGTAGCTCTCAGTGTCAGGGGCTAAATACTTCTTAGAAAAGGTAATTGAATAGATGCAAAAAAAATAAATAAAATAAAACAAAATGAGACTGAAAAAATGTGTCTTTTTGCACAGTTCTTTAATAAATCAGTTTGGCAATGAAAATGATCAAACAGATTGGAGAAATATTTGTATATAGTTTCGACAGTTGAATTTTACACCAGAATAATCTGAAAACCTTCAAGTTCAAGTGGGCATTATTAATTTGGACAGTTTATATCACAAGACTGATAAACCAAATCTGAAAATCTCTCCAGTACATAAGACAAATTCCTTTATGGACTCCGAAGGGTTCCAGTGCTGTTTTCTCAACTACCCTTCTAAATGCAAACATTTTTCAGAAAAAAAGGGGTTGTCTGCAGATAATACATCAGAAACAAGTGCATCATAAGTTATAACCATGTGGTCTAAATGAACTTAGCCAAAAGTGTTTCACCAATATAAATTCACTCACTTAAAAATTGTGATTTTACAAATCAAAATGGTCACCAAGCCAAACTTTTTTTACATCAAGTCATATAAAAGTCTGATGTATGTTATACAGATCAATTATACAGTATCATGGTTCAATGTTTACAAATTTTAAACCCGTTAAGAGTATGGCATTAAAAGAAAAAAAAATTCAAATGTTTTGCATATTTGGCACTACAGCAAGCCACCTTGAAGGTTTGTGCACGCGTGTCCGGAGGTTAAGACAGGAACCTGCATGGCTGACAATTGTTCAACTTAACGTCCTTCATGTGCTTGTCACTTAGGAAGGTTGTGTGTGGGCTTAAAACTGCCTCTGAGTCAGAGTATAACTCCAGTCCCATAATGTCTCTTGATTCTGAAATTATGACTCTTGTAAACAAAAAGTGAACCCCCCCCACACACACTACCTCATATGCAACTAAACATGTAACCCACCCTGTCCCATTTGGAAAGAATTTGAAGAAAATTGCCACTTAAGTATTTTAAGCTATGAAAAGAATGCCAACCYAAATATACTTGCTTTTGAGGAGAAAAACAGGTTCAGTTGCATACCAAAATGAAATCGTCAATCATATAAAGACAGAGACATTCATTTAGTTAAATATTTATTATAGACTAGCCTTGAAAAGGGTAGAACAACTGTGGAAATTGCCGTCCATATGAAAAAGGGAAATGTTCAGGTTTATAAAATGAAGGACTATCTGTGGAAGCCTGAGTGCCTCCTGAAGGCGTTGGAGGAGTTACAGAAGTTGTGGGCGCTGCAGTCGTCATGGCTGGCGTGGGATTCTCTGGGTTTTCTGGCATAGGAATTTTGGCGTGTTCAGGAAGAGGGTAAGGAAAATAGGGAGGCAAGTCATAAACAAAAGGACCAAATGGCATAAAATGTGGGTCAAAAGGCAACTGGGGATAACTAGTTACTTTTGCTGCAGAGGCTCTTGGTGATGCACTTGGTTCAGTTGCAGTTGGGTCTGGAGAAGATAAAGCTTGCTGTGGGTAGACAGGTTCTGAAGATTGTGACGAGTCTGGTTTTTCAGCTCCCAGTGAGGAGAAATAAGAAAACAATGGGTGAGCATAAAGATAAGGCAGAAACTTAGGCTGAGAGTCCTGGGGTGCTGGGGTGACTTGTGGAACTTGAGGCTCTTGAGGCAATGGGGGATAATTTGAGTCTTGTGGAAACTGGGGCATTTGAGGATACTGTGGAAATAAGGGTAGCTGAAGGTCTTGCAGAATTGGAGGATATTTGGGCTCTGGGGAAAATTTTGGTACCTGGGAATCTTGTAGACTCTGAAGATACTGGAGCATCTGGGAAATCTGGGTGTCTTGCAGAAATGGGGGCTCCTGGGGATACACGGGCTCCTGGGGATACACGGGCTCCTGGGGGATCAGGGGATACTGCAGTTCTTGTGGATACTTAGGCTCCTGGGGATACAGGGGCTCCTGAGGGATCAGGGGATACTGCAGTTCTTGTGGATACTGGGGCACCTCATACTTGGGCCAGTGATGCCTACGATGGTAAGCCTTCCTTCCACGTTTGGGACATAGGAGCGAGACAGGCTTACCATGCCAACGCAGTGGTAACTTATAATTGTCATCCTTGAGAGAGAAAAAAAAAAAAAAGATGTTTGATTTAAATGCATTGTGGAGGAAAAAAAAACAAATCCATCTAAAGTATACACAATTGTACCATTTAGCATGTTGCAAATAATGTATAGATTTGTCTTTACCTGTTGAATCATGTTGCAGCCTTCATATGGAATCAGCATCACAAATGCCATAGAGTTCCCATGCATTTTGTAGCCACATTTAGGTGGGACCATGGCCAGAGGCATGGATTGCTTATTTTCTGTGGATTAAAAAAGCCACAACATTAAGCAGCTGATGTAAGTAAATGGTAAAAATTGTGAAATGGACTGAACTTGAGATTTAAAGTCCCTCCAGACCCCAAAGCGCTTTACACTTAAGACCCATTCACACACTGATGATGGCAAACTACATTGTAGCTACAGCTGCCCTAGGGCACACTGACAAGAGGTGGGGCTGCCATGCACCTGCACCACCCTGACCACCATCAGTAGGCAAGGCGGGGTAAGTGTCTTGCCCAAGGACACAATGACCGAAACAGCTGGACAGGGGAAAACGAACCAGTGACCTTCTGGTTCCACAGCCACCACATTAGAACCATGTTCTTTAGTTAAGAGTTACAACATCTAATTCCCCCTCTGGGATCAATAAAGTATTTTTAATTGAATGTTGTGTTTTGTGCATCCAATACCAGAACTTTACCTTGTTCCACCTCAAACTGTGAAGCACCTGATCCGAGTGATCTGAACTTGAGATGATCCCCAAAGCAATGCAGGGAGGTTCCCATACGGTTCCATTTGTCYTTGTGGGCGTCATCAATTTCGGGTTGGGTCCATCCTGCAGCACACATGAAAGTTTATGAATCACATCCACACTACTACAGAAAAAGTAATCATCTAAAACATCAAACTGAATTCACCTGCAAAATCTGCTTGGTAAGAAGTTTCATCCTCCACAGAAGAGTTTGAAGAGGCTTTCCAATTTCCGTCCGTAACATGCGAGTCTTCCTCAGATTCATCTCCGAACAGAATTTTCCCTTCCTGGACGCCAACATCAAACTCTTTCCGCGCTGCTCGTCTTTGTGTTTTGGTCAGCCGAAGGGATTCTGCCGTTTGCACTAAATGACATGTTAAAAGAAACGCTGCAGCCAAACAAACAGTGGTACTTTTCCTCCGTTCTTTACCCATCATTTTAGCTCTGCGTAACTCCAGGAAAAGTAGAACTAACTTGCACTCCTTCGTCGCGAGTTTTAACTTGTTCCGTCGTCTGCCCGCGAGGAAGCAGGTGCTGCAACAGCCAATCAAATGACGAGAATGATTTAGGTCTTTAATTATCCATCATTGCTTACACCTGTGTGTGGTCAAGACATTTTCGTCTTCATCATTATTATTATTATTATTATTTAGTTTCTTACTTTGTGAAACCAATTTATCTATTTACTCTGAACTATATAAAACAATAAACAATGTAACATTTTTATGATATAAATAAAATGACTTTTTTAAAAAACCTTAATACCCAAATATGCAAAATGCACGACAACTATGTCATCTGCTGGATGAAAAGTGCTATAGGCTCAAAGTAAATAAGAAAAAGGCAAAACCGATATAATTGTATTTCTTTTTTTAGCCATAACATTGACATGTTCAAAGTTGACAAATAAAAGCCCAGCTATAACTGCTGTTTCCAGTTTTAAGATTGAATCCAGTAGTCCTTTGAGCCGCAAATGGCTGAAATTTAAGTATTTCAATTATAGAAACAGCTAAGAAATAAAATGTAAAGTAAGATTAAATTTCAGTCAAATTCCTGGATAATTCTATTTATAATGATGGTAAACTTTTAAACATGAAAAAGGGTGTTTAAAACAACCATATGTTTTTTTTTGTTTGTTTGTTTTTTACCACAGTCTTCTCAATCTGCTGGCTTCTTTAGTTAACTTTTACTGGCATTTCCTAATGTACTAAATGTGGATGTGTATTAACTGACTTTAGGATCTAAATTGCATTTATGATTTGCACTAGTTCCCTAGATAAGGCTACTTTTGTTGTGAACTGACGTTATATAAATG